GCATGATAAAAATAAATAATGCCAGGAAGTCAGTGAATTAATTCCTAAAACTCCAAAAAGGAAAAACATTGAAAAGTAACCCCATTACACAGAATGAAGATTGAGGCTGTTCATATCAGTAAGAAATTTCAACAAGCTGCTATTTTGCTAAGACCAGAGCTGGGAATTCTAGACCTGCAATATTCACTAGCTAAATCACCCAGAGAAAATCAAATGCCCTGTGACCCTGTGATGGTGTTGCAATGCAGCTGCATGACCTTGAAGAGATGAGTTCACCTCTCTGGGTCTCAGTTTCGTCATCTGTAGAATGGGCACCTTTCTTGCTCTAATGCAATGTGACTACAATATTCTTTCACAGTAACAGTGAAAATGCTGCTACAAAGACCTTGCAACAGCTAACAGTTCCTGGAGGCTTACTTTAGGCCAGGCATTGGTTTAAGGGTTTTACATGTACTAATTGAGACCATCAGCTTACAAGGCAGTATCATGCCATTTTATAAACGAACTAGGTTAGACAGTTTTCCCAAGGTCACAGAAGTGGAAATGAACAAAGCCACAATTCCCACACAGACAGATGTTCTCAACCACTTCACTCAACTGTCCTTTTAAAATGGGAAAGCAAGGTGCCATGTATATATTTAATCATACATTTCAATATCCAAAGGATGCGTCCAAATCCTTGCTTGCTAGGCCTCTAAATTGCAACCATCTTTCCTGCAGAAAATTACAGTTTTTCCTTGGCTTTTGTTATACCACAAGTAAATTATAACTAAAATGACTTAGTGAATTACTGGTTGCAAATTACAAGCACCTGCAGAGTCACGTTTCCTGCAAGTATAGAAATGCATAAACGGATGTATCTTCAGCTACCTTTACTCCAATACCTAAGAGCATGCTCTATTCCCTTCCACCCTCAGAATGACGAAACTAGAGAAAGCATTCACAGAATTTCCTGCTCCTTAGTGGGGATGTTGGGCATATTTGTCTGCCCTCCCAGACTTCCACCCTCAAGGAAGGAAGTGATTCTTCCACCTATTGGGGGTACTGAAAGATTGTCTGGAATAATAAAGTTGGTTGCCCTCAACAAATGATCGGGTCTGTTAATTTGTTTTAGAAGAATAAGATTCTTTATTGATGTACAGATAAAAGAAACTCTCTGACATACCTGCCCTTCAAAAAAATATCTGATACTGGAAAATTAATTCATAATAAAAAATAATTCTTTTTAAAATATCTAGCTCATTACATCACGGTAAAAGAAAGAAGGTAGGTTGTATTCTCAGTCACACATATTACCTATTTGTAGTTAATAACAGTGGATACTTTTATTTTAGTATCATACTAAAAAAGTCTACTTTATTTCTGTATCTGACTACTTAAAATTATAGAATATAATTTTTTTCATTTATATTGAACTATTGACTATTCCTAATCATAAATTTTAACCAAAACAAACCTGGCTAGAGCCAGCTGGTATTCTGACAAAATTAAAAAAAAAAAAAATGTCAACCTTTCCTAACACTGACAGGCAAATTTTGAAAACAGCTGGCTGATTTTGGGTATAATTAATGAGAGCATTAAATTCCGAAAAAGGGTTTTCATGCATTCGGTAATAAAAATGAGTTCCAGGAAACAAAGTAGAAAGAGAGAAAAAAAAAAGAAGAAGAAAAAGAAAAAACAAGTGACATGATAAGACTTATGACTTAAAATTTCATTTTACTAGTTCTAAGTTTTCTGATACCAGGGATCAAAGTTTATTTTGTTCACCATGCCCAGCACTATTGCCACTCCTGGTAGTTGGTAGGCACTCAACAAACTGATGGTGAAAAAATTATAAATCAGATTTTTTTATTAATACTCTCCATGATAAACAGCAGAACTTGTTACTCATATTATTAAGCAGAACGTTTAAATTCAAGATATGCCATCAAATGTTCTATTTACTGAGTTTCATGTCTTCAAATAATTCTTCATAAATATGGGATTAAATGTATTTAACAGTTTAAGCAAGACTGAAGTTTCAATTCAGGATTTATTTTTACAATATATAAAACTTTGAGGATTACTTTAATTTTAGGACCAATAATGTGAAATTATGGATTGACCAAGAGTTAAAAGTAAATGAAATCACTTTGTGAACAATGTCAATTAGAGAAATACTAAATCAAAATGAAGAAGCTGCTTTTTTCTTTTTAGTATGTATTCCAAATCATCTTTACTAAGGCAATGACATACAACAAAAAAATCTCTGTGCACTTGCATTATGCTAAGATCATTTTGTAATCCAAATGTTCTAGGAGGCCAGGGATGTGCTTTAAGAAAATTGCCAAACTTCTATAAGAACTGATGAAAGTCTAATGGAAATCAAAATCAGGCAGATTCAGGGGAAAAAAAGGAATCTGTCCAAGAATTTAGGCAGCAAAAAATAGATCTGCTTAGCTCCTGAATTGCATGACAGCCCAGCTATTCAACTAACGTGCTCCAGCGTGGAAACCTCGGCAGGGCCCCAGGGCAGCCATTCCCACCTCCCGAGGTCGACCTCTCTGAAGCCAAGGTCCAGCAGCCGGAGAAATGAACTCATCTCTAATCACATGAACATGGCTCTACCTTAGCACTACTCTATCTTCAAATGTCCCTACCCCAGGCATCCTTGACTATCTGGATGGAGAACATTTTTTGGAAAGCAGAGATGTTGGTTATGGTGCTACCAAAATCAAAATAGAAACAGGCTGGTGGGAGCCCAGAATCATCCATCCCAACTCGTGTCCAGTTTCAGATCACAGGGCACATTTCTCCCAGGCATAGATAGCTCCTTCTGACTTGATCCTGCAGCTGGTCTCTGCCTGAAGGTGGCTTTTCTACCAGACTGGGTTACCCTCCCTGATTCTGGGACATTTCTGAACAGCTTGTCTCTTTGAAAGGTTTACATAGTAGACATGAGACCATGAATTAGGTACAGCCAAGAACAGGATTCATTTCACTCTCATGCTGTGAGAAATGCCCACTTTGTACTTAAAATGATTTAGCTGAAGGCAAGAGGAGCATGCAAATGACTGATTTATCAAGGAAAAGTTAAGATGCTTGGATAATGTTTTTAAAAGGCTACCACTTCTACAGATGCACCAAGCAAAATGGGACATAAAGGAATATAGAAACTGAATATAGAAACACAAATATAAAGAACAGAGACAATTCAAAGAACGGTGCTTTAAGCACAATGATGCTAAATCTGAGTGACCCATTCAAGAATCTCTATCAATGAAGTTTAAGAAATTAGAATTCTCTGTTACAGAAAACAAAGTGGTGTGTGCAGGGGAAGCATGAACTTCACACTTGTCTTTAAATATATTAATGCTGCTATAAATAGGTCATCACCTGCTCCTTTCCATTTAGAAGAGAACAAGCCAGAGAAGGTTTGAATTACAGATTCGAGAGAATCACGAGCAGAAATGCCCCAGCAGAGCAGATTTCCAAAGGAAAACTCTGATGTTTCTGTTTTTTCTTGGCAAGTAAAAAACAGTAAGTAGATGTCTTTGGAGCTCCTGCTTGCCCATGAGACTGAGCAGAAGTCTCTCCCCAAGTCCGTTTTGTTCCTAAAAGTAGTAAAGAGAGATAAAAATGCCATTCCAGAGAGCATAGAAGGCTGGTTACACGTGGAGAGAGTCAGGGCTGCTCTGGACGCATATCTAGACTACAGGGATCAAAAGGTACTCTCTGCTCTAGATTTGATAGTATAAGAGCTAGTGTGTGATCTGTTCTTCATGGCCTCCTAAAATCTATTTTCTATTCTTACCTCATTGAACTCAATCAGTAGACAGCTACCACTGAGTAGTGTGGGGATTTTTTTTTTATTTTTTAAAAACATGATGGTAACAATTCTTCCCATGCATAACATCTGAACACCATCTGGCTCCGGATATCCGAAACAAATTGCCAAATACCAAAGACAGCTATTTTATGTGGTGAAATATAAGCAAAATCCACTTCTTTGGTGGTGGACACATATAAATATAGGCACATATTTATATTCTAAGCTCAAAAAATATCACCCAGTGGAGACATTCCCAGAACAACTACTGACTAAAAAAAAAATCTCACTGGATAATCGATGCCTCGCACCAAATCTGCACATGCATATCACAGGCACAGCAAAAGTTTGAACCACACACTCAGAGATCAGTAACAGGAAGTTACCGCCATCTACAGATTTCCCCTCACTGTTCAAGGGAGCGAACCAAGGATTTCTGCTTGAAAAACATAAACTGGCAAAACTGACATCAGCTGTTGAGCTGCATTATACTCCTAGAGATGAAATCCACTTTAATAGCCTGTCCAAAACCCTAAACACGTTACTTCTCTAGGAACAGGAAAGCAACCGTCCATCCCAAATGCTTAACGGTAGACCCTGAGATGAAAGATTCACAAGTCAACACCCCATCACTTTCTGTCTATCGGGCTAAAGGGCTAAATATACACAGGTTTAAAGGCAAGATGTATACTCAATTTTTCTTCTTCATTTTCCTTGTCATTAATTACTTTTCCAAGGCTGGCTTTTTTGCAGAGTTGAATAATGCCGAATCCAAACTAAAACACCAGCTCCGGGGCCGTGCCACTGGAACCGGGCAGGAGACAGTGACTCGCCCAGGAAACCCGGGGCTGATTCCCGGAGACCCGTTCCAGCGCCCTGGGCAGCGGCTCCCGGCGGAAAGCGCAGAGTTTGCCAGCCGGTGCGCAAAGATGCACAAAGCACACGCCCTGCCCGTCCACCTGGTGAACACCTAGACAACTTTATTTTGGGAAGAGCCCTCCAAGGAAACTTTTGCCTCACCCGCAGCCCTTGCCAGAGCCCACCGGGCCGCGAGCCGGCAGGAGTGGGGGGCCCCAGGCCGAGGGGGAGCCGCGGGCGAGGGGGCAGCCCCGAGCTGGACGCGGCTCGGCGGGCCGAGGTCCTCTCCGGGCCGGGGAAGGCGCGGCGCTGGACCCGCGGGGAGGCCACTCACCAGCCCGAGCGCGAAGAAGACGGCGAGCAGGGCGAGGCAGGCGCCCATGACGATGAGCAACAGGAAGACGATGAGCGGGTGCTGCTGGCTCATGCAGTAGTAGGACTCGTAAAGCCAGTCCCGGGACCGCGGCAGCCCGTCTCCGCCGCCCGCCGCCTCCTCGGCGCGGTCCCGCAGGTAGCGGCGGCGCCGCATCGCCTCCTGCCACATCGGGGCGGCTCGCAGGGCGCCCGCCGTGCGTGCCCGGCCGGGGCAGCGCCGCTCGCCGCGGCCGCCCGCGTCCCACTGGCGCGCCGCCTCGGCCGGCCCGGCTGCCGGCTCCGGGAGCTGCGCGCTGGGGCCTCCGGCGCGGGCGGAGCTCAGCGCCCCTGACTGGGCGCGCTGACGCGCGGGCGGGGGACCGGGCGGCGGCCTCGGGGGCAGCTCCCGGCGCCGCAGCCGCCACAGCCGCCGCGCGGGAGGGGGCGGGTTCCACGGGGCCCTCCGCCCGCCGCTCCCCGCCCCGCGCGCCGCCGGCCTCCGCGCAGGGGCGGTGTTGGCCCCCACCCGACGGCCGGGGGCGAGACGGTGGGGGGAGTGGCGGGCTGCCGGGCTCGCTCTGTGCCCCGGCCCGGTGTAGTCCTCGCCTTCCTCCCTCCCACACTCAGCCACCGGGTCGTCCCCCTCCTCGGCCCTATCCCGAGTGCGGCGTGGGTGGGGTAGGAGGCACAGCCCTCCCCTCTGCGGAGTGAGAACGCAGCCCCAGGGTGGAGGGAGGGGGGAGTCCCACCCCCACCCCCGCCGCCGCCCCACCTGCCTGGGAGCACTGCGGGGCTCCGGAGCTCCTCTCCGCCACCTCAAGGGCAGCAGGCCGCGGGCAGGGACGCTGCCACCCTCCCGTTTCCCCAACCCCTTCGTGGGCTGCGGGGGCTGCTCCCACCCTCCTCCACAGTCACAGAGCGCAGCCGGGGTCAGAGGACCCGGGGGTCCCTCCTAGAGTGCTCGGGTCAGAGGACCCAGGAGACACCCCCCTTCTCACTCTCTTGGGGCGCTGGAGGGGACCTCCCACCCTTCCCGCCTCCCCACGCTGGGCAGGGGTTTGTCGTCTAGCCCGGCCTCCCAGCCGCGCAGCAGTGTTGGGGGCTCCCCCATCCTCTCCACTTTCGGAGAGGCTGGGGCTCCCTGTGAGGGCGGCCGGGCGCGGAAACGCGGGGGACCCTGGACTGGAGACCCGCGCGCTGCGGAAGGAAGCGGTAGAGGCAGAGGCTGCACGCGGAGCCCCCTCGCGGCTTGGGGTGCAGCCACCCTCGCGCCCCGCACGGTCAGCCTCAGGCATGCTTCGGAGGCGCCGGACGGGCCTATCATGTTATCACAGGCTCACAGAGGTGCCCCGTGGCCGGTCGTGGTCCTCGCCGGGCCCCTCTGCGGAGCAGGGATGGCGGCAAGGGGTGCTCAGGGAGAGCGGCTTGGCGCGGGGGCGGGCGGGTCGGGTCTGGTAGCAGCTCCCTCCCTGTCACCTCGGGGGGCTGCACGCAGGAGGCGCTAGAGACCCGGCAGGAGTCTGTGGGGCCTGAGGTCATCAAGGACAGTGTCCCCTCCCGACACGCGTGGGAGCGGAGGCCGCTAGCCCTTGACCTGGCGACCGAAGGGGGCTTCACCGCTGACCTCCAAAGAACCCCTCCCTTCTGGAGGTTTTCTCCTATTCGAGTGTGGTCCGGTCCAAGGAGCCCCCAAATCCCAGCTCCTCCCCAAAGCCTCTCCCTACGGAATCGAAGGCACCGGGCCCTCCCTTCTCCTGACACCAGCGGGCAGCCCAGAGGGCTGTTCCATGCACTTTTTATCTCTTCCAGGAGATGACCAGCTTTCAGGACTCAGCCTTTGTCATCACCTAAGACCTCAGAGCCTTCTCGAATGGCCCCACTGCCCCGCCACTCGAGCTGTCGTGTCCCCCTCGCGGGCAGAGGGCATGTAAGCTGGGTTGCTGTATTGCTGTGAGCACAGGCCCAGGCAGGGCACCGAGACCCAGGCGGGATCCTCCCAGAGGTTTTCATTTTAGCAACAGCCAGTGCCCACGGGGCCTAAGGGTGAGGGCTCAGGAGCTGCATCGCTCACCTGCAGATCTCATAGAGAGGGAGGCAGGGTGGCAGCCGGGGAGGGTGCCTGTCTATGCAGGGCCGTGTCTAGGACATCAGGTCCAGCCCCACCAGGCTCCCTGGTCCCTGGACTTCCCTCCTTCTGGGGACCTGGGAAGAAGGAGTGGGGGAGGAGGCAATGGGTGGGAGGGGGTCCCCCTGGAGCCTCCTGTAGGTACCAAGGCTCACCTCCCACCGCGGGTCACCCTGCCCTAGCAACAGAAAGACATTCTCTTACCTGCAGAGTTTATGGACTGCCGCCCCCACCCTGTCCTGCCTACCCTCCACTCCAACGCCCTGCTGTGACTGTAACACAGGTAATTTCAACTTCAGACCCTCCCACCAATCCTCACTGGGCTGGATGCTTTGCTATGGACCTGAGGATGTGATTACGATACTCCCAGATTTTAGGTTTTTGAAGGTTCTGAGAGCAAGCTTCAATGACAGACCACACTGATGAGTCCGTGGTATAAATATCCAGAGCCCAATCCCTTCCAAGGAAAAACGGTTGAGTGGGAAGCTGGACAGGGTTTCTATTGTGTTGGTTCTCTTCCTCCTGCTGTGTGCTTGGTCTTTCTGGGGTGGGCAGTGTTGCGCATTTCCAGTCCTTTCCTGTGCTAGCAACCGACTAATTATTCATCTTCCCTCCAGTTCTTGCTTCTTCTCCACCCCTTGTATTGATAAATGTTTGCCTTCACCCACTCAAGAAGGAAGAAAAGTAAATAATCTGTAATTTAGGTTTATGCAAAAACAGCTGAAAAACTTGTGAGGAAAAGGAAATGCTTAATTACAGTCTCCTTCTTCTGAGTGGGGAAGTGGACCCTTTTGAATATCCAGTATCTGTATCATATATATGTTCTTTGTTTGGTAAAGGGAGTCTTACGACTTTTAAGAAATTTTGTTACAATATAATGGCATGGAGATTATTTTGTCCTTGATCCTTTTGAGCTTTTTAAATTCATTCATTCTTTCATTAATTCACTCAACAAACATTTTGTGCCTACCATGTGCTGAATGATGGGGGCAGGGTGTGGGGTAGGGGGAAGACAGGGACCCTGGGAACCTTGTAATGGTTTCCGATTTACTTTGAAAGGTAGGGCTACAAAAAGTGAAACAGGAACAGAAATCAACATTCCTACCCCTCCTTTTTTCCTAAACACTACAATTTAAATTTCATCATCATAGACACAGGACTTAGAAGGAAAATAATATTAAAATCAAGAATATGTCAGGGCTTCTCTAAGGCTTTGCTAGATCTTTGTTTTGTTCCAATGCTTATTTTTGTGGGGGCCTCTGTCATTATGTTTAATATAAAAAAAAGCGAAACAGTATGATCATTACAGTTGCTGTATTCATGTTTTGAAATCAGTTGCACTAATTATGCCTTTTAAAAAGTTCCCCACAACAGTTTCTATTTTAAAAAGGAAAAAAAAAAAGAAACAAAACAATAACTCACAAGCCATATGAAGTACAATGAAAAATGTCCTTTAGTACAAAGCCAGGAGCATGAAATACGGACTCTTGCAACTAAAGGAACCCCAAGGAGTCCTCTGGTTCATTTTTGTGCCTCAGGGCTGCTACTCCAAGGGTAAGATGTGGAGAGCAAGGGGTTCTCCCATATATTTACTCTGTAGCAATTTATCTGTGGTAAAAAGAAATCTACTGGGGAATCTCTAACTGGGCCAGAGGGAGAAAAAATAAAAAGCATCAGGAAGCAGAATTTGTTTTTTCCTGTAACGCTAGAGGGCAGCCGTCTATCCTCATAACCCCGCAAGCAAGGCTGACTTTCTGGGTCTGTGACTTGTGCAGCTGGTTCAAGGTTCTGCTGTCACCACCCTTAAATTCTTAAAAATGTTTGATCAAAGGGTTCTACATGTCCATTTTACCCAGGGCTCTGCATATTGGAGAGCCTAGCTTGCTAGCTGGTCACATTAAACAGCAGTCCAGTCTGGGCCTGCAGACAGAGCCTATGGCAGGCCAGCCAAAGGACAAGGCCTCCTCTGCCTGGGAACTCAAGCCACGTATCACCTCCTAATCTGGTCACCTCCCATGGACTACATACACACTAAGACAGACTCAATCGATTATAAATCTAAGCAGTCACGCTGCAGGATAGGTTTATGCATCAGTGGGTTTTGCGTTAAAAATAACCCATCTTCTAGCTCCTATTTCAAATCCAGTTAGATTAGCTCAGTCAATGACGCTGACATGTTCCTCTTAACGTCCACAAGGCTCTGATTGATTAAATCAAGGCAGCCCAGCCAACTGCACCAAGGACAGAAGCGGACATGTGCCAGCCAACCCAGGGTGGATTGTAGAGCTGAGCAGAGTCTTTCCCTGTGTATTCATTTTCCTCTCTGGCAAATACATTACTAAAATTTATATAATAAAGTATGAACGGTATGTCAACAGATTCATTATCACCATGAAATATGCTTTGTGCACCCAGATAACATTTACATTTTTATTGAACCAGAGTCTGGGAATACAGAATCCACCCAACCCAAGCCAGTTTATGGCTCTTAGAAGTCAAATTAACTCTTACAGTTCATTTAAGTACTTCTTTGCAGTTCAGTTTCCAAAGCATCAACAAAATGATGCTGATCATAACATTAATATATTCATTTTCTTGTCCATCCAGTGCTGAATGATCCCTACATGCCTTTAAAAGACCCTACTTAATTGGCTTATTTGTAAATTAGGTTTTCAGGGACAATACTGGAATCAATATTTCAAAAAATCATCTGAAAGATCTGATTTGGGGTGAGTTACTGAGATTTTTGGCCCTTAACATGTGCGAAGATGGTCCTGGTATGTCAGAGCAGACCTTTCACAGATGCCCACTGCCATGGAGAAGTTTACTCCTGGTAATCTTTCAAAATCCGCTGATATGCTGGAATGCTTTCCATGAGCCCCGAGAGGAGTAAGAGTAGGTTAATGACTAATCAGTTTCCAGGACGTCTGCAACCTTGTGAGAGATATCGATTTCTCTGCTCTTGCTCAGAGAATGTGAGCTAAAAAACAATGACTCATGCCGCCGTGGAGATGTGAGCTCAGGGTCAGTGGCCTAGAGAGGTGCAGAAGAGGGTCTTATTTAGTAAGCATAAATATATAGTTCAGATACCTTGGCTTTTATTTTTATACACTTGTATAAAAATAAGTGTCCCTTAAAATAGTCATTAAGGAGTGACTTGATGATACTCTAAAATTTAAAAAAAATAATGTACACTGAGGGACAAGATATGGCTTCTATGGAACAATGCTGAGATATAGTTCATGAATATTTTTGTCTAATTTCACCTTTCTCATTCAATTCAACCAATGTATGATTTTAAACCACTTCACACATTTTAATTCATGGGACCTTTTTAAATTTGAAAATAAATCAAGTTCAATTCAGTCTTATTCCACACTATAGTGTAATAATTGTCAATATCTCAGAATCACTTCCTTAAAATACTGGATTTTGTTCTATCGCTGATATCACCTGTCATCCTTGGAGAAGTCACGTATGATCTCCAAGCTTCAGCTGATTTGTTTTTAAAGTAAGGAAATAAAAAATGGACCAGTTATGCTAAGACTCTTTCAAACAGGTTTGTGGTAAAGGAATGGATTTTAATCAATATTTTTAGATTGAAAGGAAAAAAATTGTTTGCATCCAATTAAAAATATATAAATATAATAAAATTGAACTGTACCAAGAAGTTTGTTGAATTTTGTCTAACTGTTTAATAATAAGTACTATTTCCTTTGATAAAAAGCAACAAAAACATGTATTAGCGGTGTGTAATGACAATTAGTAAACACCCACAAATCGTACTTTTATATTAACATGGTCTGTGTTCCCTCACTAAGGGTAAGTTCTGTCAAAGCAAAAGATTTTGTTTCTTTTGTTCATTATGTTCCTATTACCTGAAATTTGCAAAAACACATAGTAAGTGTTTAATAAGTATGTGCTAGGTGAATGAATGAATAAATCAAGAAAGACACAGACAACTTCATTCTTTTAAAAACTGAGTT